AGCAAATGAATATGCAACACCTTTAAAAAGTTAACACAGGGGCTGGCACTTTGGCATAGTGGGTAAAGCTGCTGCTTGCTAATGTGACTGGGAAAGCAGTAGAAGATGGTCCAAGTGCTCAGGCCCCTGTACCCATGTGGGAGACCTGGAATAAGCTCCTGGCTCCTGGCTTCCTCTTGGCCTAATCCCAGACAATTTCAGTTATATGGGGAATGAACCAATGGATGGAGGATTCTCTCTATCTTGGCTCTGTAACTCTGCCTTTCAAATAAATAAGCAAATCTTTAAAAAAAGTTATCGGGCCAGTGCAGCGGCTCACTAGGCTAATCCTCCACCTGCGGCGCCGGCACATCGGGTTCTAGTCCAGGTTGGGGCGCCGGATTCTGTCCCGGTTGCCCCTCTTCCAGGCCAGCTCTCTGCTGTGGCCAGGGAGTGCAGTGGAGGATGGCCCAAGGGCTTGGGCCCTGCACCCCATGGGAGACCAGGAGAAGTACCTGGTGCGCTGGCCGCAGCGCGTCGGCTGCAGCAGCCATTGGAGGGTGAACCAGCGGCAAAGGAAGACCTTTCTCTCTGTCTCTCTCTCTCACTGTCCACTCTGCCTATCCAAAAAAAAAGTTGTCACAAACATTTGTGATATTTTAAAATTCAAGAAGTAATGCTTATTATGACCACTTATTGCATATGTTCAGCTGATCTTTGATTTGAAGCAATCATTTGCCCCACTTGCAAAACAGCTTTTAGATAATTTAGAGCATAGGGACTTTAATGCATATGAAAAGAGAATGCAGACACACCAAGAAATCATGGCAGTTGCAGACAGAGTTGCATTTCAGTTTATCTTCCAATTGGATATCTCCATCATTTATTCATTTCTTTGTGAGAAATGTATTCAATGTCTACTGCTTAGGTATACAACAGTGAACTAAGACAGATCTATTTCTTTTCATCATGGGGTTTATTAACTAAGACATAAGTAACTATATTAAATAATGCAATAGATCGTAAAACTTGCAATAATGATTCATAACCTGTCTCCTCGATGGATAGTGACTATTTCCTCATCTCTTGATTCTAGACTGGTTTTGTGACTTGCTTTGACCAAAAGAATTTGGTGGAAGTTAAATGGTACCACTTCTGAATCTAGGCTCCTAAGAAGCCTTGCAGCTTCCACTCTTACACAGCTGGAATTATTCATTTTCTATGAAAATAACACCAGGCCAGCATGAAAAGGATCAGAGACCACATGGAGAGAGATCTTTAGACCAACATGAATCACCCAGTTCCTGCTGACCTACTAGAAGTAGCACGAGCAAATCCAGCCAAGATCAGCAGGCCCTGGCCTGGCCAAGAATGTTCAAGCTAAACCTATTATAAATCTGCAAAATGATCAACTACATACACAATTTTCAACTTAAGTCACTAAGTTTTGGAGTGTTTTGCAAAAGAAAATACAAATGACAAAAAGACCCATGACAGGAATAAACTTAGGACAGAGCACAGAGATATGTTAATACAATTTATTGACATCAGGGAAGGCCGCCAGAAGGAATGAGGAGGAGTGTCAACTAGTTAATGACCTTGACCGCTGTGATATAAAATCTTTATAGGATAGAAAGCATTGCTACCACACATGAGAGTACTTCAAAAAGGTCATGGAAAATGAATATTATGAAAAAACTGGATAAATTTCAGGTTTTTTTTTGCATCAAAATATCTTTTAATTGTTTTTCATAAACTTTTTGTGGTACCAACCATTAGAAATATCTACAGCTATTTAAACAAAAAAACTTGGAACATCCTTGACTCTTACAGCTAGTGTAAAATCCTTTGTAAGTTCTAACATACCTCCAGAATGCAGCCATTTTTTTTTTTTTACCACTTTTACTATTATTACTCAGAAACAGGTTATACACTTATCTGAATTATTTCCCTGTGTCCCCTGGTCCCAAGGATTCTGCTTTGCAGTCTTGCTACTTCCTCACAGGCTGTTTTGACTACAGAAACTAGAATGAGCCTGTTGTCACACAAGTAAACTTTTGCTACTCCTCTACTCAGAACTCTCTATTGGGTTGAGTGGTGGCCTCCCAGAAGGTATGGCCACATGTTGTAACCTATAGAACCTGTGGATATTATCTTATTTGGAAAAAAACATTTTTTGTAGATATAATTAAGTCGAGGATCACAGGTGAGATCACCCTATGCTATCTGGATGGGCTCTAGGACCAATGACAAGTATCCTTGTACAAAGGAAGGAAGACAAGGTGACACTGAAGAGAAGACTACTTGCACCCAGAAGCATAGATTGCAGTGATGTGGTCCCAAGCCATGTAAAGCCTGGAGTTACTGGGAGCAGGTAGAGGCAAGGAAGATTCTACCTTAGAACCTTTGGAGGCAGCATGGTCCCTGTAAACTTGATTTTGAATTTCTATTCTACATAACTGAGGTAAAATGCGTTTCTGTTGTTTGAGCCACTTAGTTTGTGCTCATTTTTTTATGGGAGTCTAGGGAAACTGTTGTATCTGCCAGTGAATTCTTATCTCTTGCAGAGAAAAACATAACTGCCGATGTGCTCACACTGGCTTTAAGCTCCATTTGGGCTTCTCTCCTCTGACCTCTGTGACAGGATAGCTACCCCTGCACCTCCTTTTGCCACTTGAGCCTCTCTGGCCTTCTCACTGCTCCTCCAACACATAAGGCATTCTCCCTTTTCAGTCTGCATTTACCCTTTCCTCTGCCTTGCATGCCCATCTCCTGGATATCCATCCCTGCATGACGCTTTCAAGACTGTTCCAGAACGTCTTTCATGTAATGGAGATTCCTTTGATAATTCTTTTGAAATCTAATCTATCATCTAGCACTCTTCATTTCCTGCTCAGCCTTGTCTGCCTTCCTTGTCTTAGTTCTCTGTACAACACTTATTGCCTTTGACCTACTATAAAGTTTACTTATTCATTTGTTTATTAATTATATTCCTAACTATGATATATCATTAAAAGATATATAAATATATTACTTATATTACTTTCCCTCACTGTCTTATGTCCAGCATTTATGATAGATATCCAGTAAATAAATGTTCAATTTAGTGGGTGTTATGTTTATAATTTCAGGAAAGGCTATGAGGAATCTGAAAACTCTCAGTTTTGCCTTCTTCTTTTGGAAAACGTTTCCAAATTTGTCCATAATTTTCATTAGCTCCTGAATAGAACTAATGCTACTAATTTTCTGGAGTAGAAGAGCATAGATGCTGTAATTTTATAGGACAGTGTCATTATTCCATTATGGTAAGAAGCTCATATACAATTTGTACTTTGAAGCCCCTTGGTTTTCACTTGTCACTTTACATTTGACTTCATACTAGCTCTGGCACTCTGAGTGAAATAGTAATGAGGGCATAGCAGCAGCTTTAGCAACAGGTGATGAAAGTTTAAATGCTGGGGATTTTTAGAAGGTTTGAAGGCAACAGCATCAAAAGGTGGATACACATGTAAAGCGGTCCTGGGATGAGGGACAGGGAACATGTGTTCTTTGCTGATTTTCTTTGATGAATTTCAAAGAATTTACGGCATCTTCTAGTAGATTGGTAGCTTCTAAGCATCTATTACATATATGCTTGGTGGTTTAAATACACATAGAGTTTGCATTAGTCTTGCCAGTTCATGCTTCCTGAATAAAGGACTATGAACTCAAATGCTAGCATCAGATGCATTTGCCAGTTACGCTGTATCTCTATCTATCCACCAATATATACATAATAAATGCAAACATATATGCATACACACATATAAACAGTAATCTTTTCTCCAAAATGTATAAAACAATGTAAATAAAGCATCATAAGACATCTTTTGTTCTATCCTTTGTCGTGAGAAAGGGAAAATGTATAAAACAGAAAGCCACAGAAGCTCCTGTCACAACATCTGTGCTATTTGGCTTTAGGAATTTTGCTTTCTTTATGCAACTACAGAGATGTCTGCATAGCAACAAAAAGTGAGACAATACTTCTATCCTTTGAAAAGCAAGAGGGGAGCTGAATGAAAATATAAGCAATCATCAGAAACATAAATGAGAGGCTGTATTCCAGAAGTGGAATTAGTTCGACTAAACCAATGTCTAACATGGTCAAGGAGTTAACAATGTTGTGGTATTTTAATTAGGGTTGGAGTCTGGGTTTGATTCAGATAAAAATCCTCAACTGCTTATCCCTGGCATACCAGGACTGCCCAAACATCTTGGTCTGCAAAATTAGGCTGGGAATAGCGCCCAAACAGGATTTCTGAAAAGATTCTTGGGACTTTCTTTTTTGACTGAGGCTCGATATTCTGCAAAGATTGTAAGAACAGCCTGTCTCTTTTATGTTACATAGCTAGAAGCTGGGAATGGAATAATATAAGAGAAATGTTTACATGTGCTTGAATGAAAAGTTACCTACACTAGTTTATATATTAAAATAACGTTTTTATTTTTCAAGACACAAACTATAGACAAACTGACTTAACTACGTATTTCACTTGGCTAACAATGGATGGGAAGTAGCTACTTATTTAAAAACAATTCTAGGGGCCAGGGCTGTGGCGCAGCAGGCTAATGACCTGGCCCAAAGCGCCGGCATCCCATATGGACACCAGTTCAAGACCTGGCCACTCTGCTTCCAATCCAGCTCTCTGCTATGGGAAAGCAGTGGAAAATGGACCAAGTCCTTGGGACCATGTGCCCATTTGGGAGACCGGGAAGAAACTCCAGGCTCCTGGCTTTGGACCAGTGCAGCTCCAGCCGTTGCAGCCAGTTGGAGAGTGAACCAGCGGATGGAGAACCTCTCTCTCTCTCTCTGCCTCTCCTCTCTCTCTGTAACTCTGACTTTCAAATAAATAAATAAATCTTTTAAAAAAAAGCAATTCCAGTGTATCCCGAAATGGCTCATACATGAGAATAATAAATTCCGTGGCCAGTGGGAGTTAAAAACTGCCACAAAGCAGCATTTAATAATATTGTTCTCTTAGTGCTTTGCAGTGAAAAGCAGATGGACGCGACGTGAGCTCTTCCATGCCTTTTGCACCTGGTAAGTAGAAAGTGGTTAGGGAGAAGATTTTTCAGACATCTAAGTAAATTAATTTGAAATATATGCAAATTAGTTATGTAATTTCATTGCATAGTTGTAAAAAAACAGGAACAGATATTTCATTTAGTCAACAAAAACATATTGTGCACTTTGATGTTGATACAGTGAACAAAATGGACATCATGGAGCTCACAGTGAAATGGTCTGACAGGAAGGCAAACATTGAATAAATAAACATCATCTACCTATATATTATCTGTTTATCTCTCTACTATCTATGATAATCATCATCAATATAATCTATTTAATTACAAGTTTCATTATGTCCTATGAAGGATACAAATTAGGCATTATGATATAAGTGATTGAGAAACTGCAGAGTATCACAAATAAAGGTGAAAGAAGAGTTGAGATAGAAGCAGAATACAGAACAATGAGAAGATGTCACCATCTGAGGAATGAGGGAAAGGAACGTTGCAGGAAGGAGAAGCATGCTATATGATACTTCAGTATGAGAAAGTGTTTGGCATGTTTAGGAACAGATAAGAGGGTTGGGGCTGGATCTTAGGGAGAGAAGAGGGTCACAGGAGATATATTTGGAGAGAGAAGAAAGCTAGAATCCTCTGGGATTCTAACACGTGGAAAAATAGTGATTTTTATTCTAAGTGTGATATGAAAACTTTAGAGTGCTCTGCATACTGCTTCGGGATGAGATGGGGTCAGGGTAGAGCATTTGATGTGCTTTCCTTTGCAGGATTATCCTTGGCTGCTATGGAGGATGACTTGGAGCCAGGCGAGAGTGGAAGTGCAGGGGCCAAGGAGGAGGTCATTCTCATCATGAGGATGTAGCACAAGGGAAGCTTGACTATGGTGTGGTCATGGACACACATAAGAATGGACCGATTCAAAAACAATTGGAGTGAGGAAAATCAAAGAACCAGGCCATGGGGGGGATGAGGAAGAAGGAAGATCCAAGAGTGACTTCTAAGTTTCTGACGAAGGCAATGGGTACATAGTCATAATACTTTCAGAGGTGGGAATGAAGAACTAGATTGGAAGGAAAGGAAAATTGTAAACAACATGTTTACAAGAATCATAATCCCTCCAAGCAGAGATGTAAAGATCATAAGCTGTGCTCAGAGGCCCAGCCTAGTGATAGAAAGGAGGAAATGCAATTAGAGAAAGGATCTCAGCTTAAACATCTTCAGAGGGCCCCTGTTGCTCTGGTGTGTACTCCAAGGGATTCGAGATGCCATTGAAGTGTCTCTACCATCGTACCATCGTACCTTTACAACCTTACAGGATTAGTGACACAGTAAATTGCTTTTCCTGAATCCTAATCTGACTTAAAATGGAAAGTGACAAGTGAAAAGTGAGGCGCTCAGCAGTGACTACGAGCCTGTCCCTTCAGCAAGATAGTGCGCCCTGTGCATTCACACTTTATTTTCAGCTCAGTAACAACCCTGAATACCCTGCATCACTATTTATCTTTTTATGATTCTGTCTTCCACCAGAACCTGCATTCATCAGAGACAGAGCAGTTGCTATTAATCTCATGATACCCAAGGCTTAATACTGAGAACCCAGGGTGCTTGACACATAATACATGCTTAATAAATCTAACTGGTAATGCATATTAAACAGAGCAAATAAGGATTAAATTTGCTTGGGAAGTTTTGTAGACCCTGTGAGTTCAATTCTGGTATATTGTTGAGCAGGGACTGGGAATTCTATAAGAGTAAACCAAGTGCTCAATGTTGACATATTTGGTCTTCCATGCAGTGCTTAATAGAGTCTGGTAGTTCCTGTTTTGGGTAATGATAGTTTTGAACTCCCCTGCCATGCTAGACTCAAGAGGGCAGTGGCAGGAAGGGACTGTTGTAAGAGAAAGCAACATGAAGCCCTTTCTTTCCCTCCTAACCCAGCACTCACACATGCCTTTAACCAGGACAAATGGGTACTGCTTTCTTTCCACTTCTAAACATACTTAGGCTGTTCCTTAGAGATTTCTTTTCCTCTTCAAGTCTGTCTTAAAAGTGAGTTTTCAACTGACTTTATTTCTATAACAATAAGTTCTGGAGTCAGGGAGTGCATTTTATGATGTATTGTGGCTGGGCTCCTCATTCTCTAGGGATAACATTGCCCAGGTGTGAGTCCTGTTCCAGTGCTTCCTGCATCTTCTTCAAGAGAAATTAAAAAGATCCTAGAACCAATATGGTCTCCTATTGGCAAAGAAGTTGAAGACCTCTGGAGCATCTAGTTTCTTAGGTCTAAACTATTTTGAATGGTATGGCAAGTCCAAGAAGACTCATAAGTCTTAGAACTGTTTTATAATTCAGAATGTGAACAGGGCAATGTCTGGGGAGACCTGATGCATCAAAAGAAAAAAAAAATGAAACATGAAGGGTAGCAGCTTGAGCTTATGTTTTAAGAGTGTTTTCCTATTGTGTGGTAAAAGGTAGAAATTGTAAGAGCCTGGAATAAAGGTTACAAATTCAAGTGCTGTCAAGGACCAAGAAAGTAAAGTGAGTGAGAAGCACAGACCTGGTACTACATAATAGAGTAAGCATAGTGAGTCATGGCCACTGCACAGTGTACCCATGCCCTGCTGACCCCAAAACAAATACTAACCACAAAAAAACAAAGTGTGAGAGTGAATCTTTAGGAATGTACATAAGATCATACTATTCTCCTGCTTAGAGCCCTCCAAACCTTCCTCTGAAGGCCGAGATCTGCAATTGCCTGTGAGACCCTCCTTGACCTACCACTTCTCTGACACCACCTCTTGCCACCTTCTTCTCTTTCTGACTGGTGGGCCTCTTGGACTCCTCACAGGTCCTTGATCACAACTGGCATGTCTTGGTCTCAGGTCTTTTTACTTGTTGCATCCCCTGCCTGGAATGATCTTCTCCCAGCTGAATACACACTCCATCAGTTTTGCCATGTGCTACAAAATCATGCCTGGTTATTGATGCAGCCCTGATGGTACTCTGCCTCCATCTGTCCCTAGCCCTCTTATTTTGTCTTATATTTACAATAATTATCACAATCAGATGTCTTAATATTTCTGAAAATAATTTGAAGTGAATATGTAATATTCTTTCAATAGGCTCATTATCTTAAGTATAAATGTGTACATGTATGTGTGCTTGCACGTGTGCTCTGTGGATGTGTCAAATACTCAAATATGACCTCTCATTTATTTACAGAAAAGTTTTATGGATTCTTCAAATATCTTCCACCTGGGGATCTCTTTCTAGATTACTTCTTGGATCTGACTAAATGCCTCAGACATTCCATCAGCTTCTGCACGTAGCAGTACCAATTCTTCTTTCTCCCTAGATTTCTGTCTCGGGTCTTATATATTGGCTCAAGATCAGCTGCATGTTGTGGGTCAACTTGGCTGAAAGGAAAAGTCCTTTATTCTTTCGCTTCACCCTCCCTCCTGCAGTGCCTTGGGTGGAAGGGCAGCCATCTTCCTCTGCAGGTTCTAATCTGCCCGCTCTTTCTAGACTTGTCTTTGTATCTGCTCACACCCCTCAGACGACACGTTGTGTTTTGAATAGCTGTTGAGAAATTCCTAAAACTTGGTCCTATCTCCAACTACCTTTAAAAAATTCTTAAGAAATCTTGATTTACTTATATATCCCCTAAAGATTAAGTCACTAAATAGGTTTCACAACCTTTTAACAGGTCCTGCATAGATGCTCTAGCATCTGTTGATTTTAGCCTTTGGAGTCTTGGTGAAACTCTAAGAAAAAAAGAGAATGTTATGTGTAACATTCTACTACACATATATTTAGTGTTTAATTCATATATTATATCTGCATCCCATTAAAAAGCTAGGCTTCTTTTTCTTTTTGGCATAGCAAAAGCCCTGCAACTCAAAAGATATTTAAAATGGATCACCAATCCTTAAAAATGCTACAGAAATGTATAGAATCATGTAAAATATAAATCTGTGTATTTAAATAGCATCTATATTTTTTATTTATAAGAATGCAAAGGGGTCAGTGCTAAGCCTCTGCCATTGGTGCCAGCATTCCATATGGGTGCCAGTTTGAGTTTTGGCTGCTCCTCTTCAGATCCAGCTCTCTGCTTAATGGCCTGAGAAAGCAATGGAGGATGGCCTAAGTGCTTGGCCCCCTGCACCATGTGGGAGACCCAGAGGAAGCTCCTGGCTCGTGGCTTCGGATTGGCTCAGCTCCAGTTGTTGCGGCCATTTGGGAAGTGAACCAGTGGATGGAAGACCTTTCTCTCTGTCTCTCCCTCTCTCTGCCTGTAACTCTTTCAAATAAATAAATAAATCTCAAAAAATGCAACATATATATTTAATAGTTATTTAACATGAAAAAAGTTCAATGGCAATGCCTGCTAATATATTTGAAATTCCATTATGGTGAACACATTATTCGAAGGGAAAAATACAGTGGAATAATTATTGTTTAAGGCCATTGAGACAAGATTATCTGCAAATCTTTCCAACAAGTTGTCTATAATGAGACAAATTTGTGAACAATATCAAAGAAAATAAAGGAGTCTATATTTTTGCAACAAATTTTTCTTTGCCCTCTCCCCTTTTTAAAAACAAAAAGGAACAGTTTTAGGGGGAATGCTGACAAAGCATTATGGAAGTAATGGAAAATGCAAAGGAACTATTTTTGTGTCTCATTATACATCTTAAATTGCTGTTCCAGTATTCGAGATTTGCTTAAACAGTTAACTACTGCCAAACATAGCAGTAGCCGACTCTGGGACAGAAGCGCTGATTGTACGGTCTGCTCAGAGAACATGGAGCAAACAAATACTGATGAATGCTCAAACTCTGTGGAGTCCCAATCCAGACTGAGTCCCTTCACCAGATATGGGACCCCAGGGGAATTGTGGCCAAGGACAATGAAACGTTGAATTTACTAAACTTGACAACAGAGTTAAATTGCTACCCTCAACGAAGCTGGGGCAATAAGATATAGAGGACCAAAAGGCACAAATAATGCAAAAAATCGTAAAATGGTGTAGAATTTTTATTCTTCCAGTCAGGCTTTTATCTCTTCCAGTTTCATTCAGCCCTTGAGATGAGAAAGTTGGGTACAAATCCTTCAATGCCTCGTTGCTAAACACAGGCTCTGTTACCCACAAACAGGGGCTTTGTTTATGGTACAGAAGCACTGTCATGGGCTGAAACTATTAATGAGTTATTTATTTTAAACATATTTCAGATTTTCCATTACTAAAATGATTTTAGAAAAGAAGCACCATGTGTATATATGAACATCATTGCTATTATTTATTTATTTATTTTCTTGACAGGCAGTGTGGACAGTGAGAGAGAGAGACAGAGAGAAAGGTCTTCCTTTACCGTTGGTTCACCCTCCAGTGGCCGCTGCAGCCGGCGCGCTGGGGCCGGCGCACCGCGCTGATCCTATGGCAGGAGCCAGGTACTTCTCCTGGTCTCCCATGGGGTGCAGGGCCCAAGCACTTGGGCCATCCTCCACTGCACTCCCGGGCCACAGCAGAGAGCTGGCCTGGAAGAGGGGCAACCGGGACAGAATCCGGCGCCCCGACCGGGACTAGAACCCGGTGTGCTGGCACTGCAAGGCGGAGGATTAGCCTAGTGAGCCGCGGCGCCGGCCTGAACATCATTGCTATTAAAAATAAATAAATTTTTTCTGCTTAGTTTTGGGTGTTCTTTATACATTAAAAAGTAAGAAATTACTGAGAAAGCAAAATTTCACATTAACTCACAGTAGCTACATATTTGCACAGCCCATATTCAGAAGACTGAAGCAATGCTAAGGTCAAATCTCTGAAGTCAATGTGAATGATCAAATATCTGAAGAAATGAAGACAAATATTGTCTTTGCTTTAATTATCTCAATAGCTTTATTATTATTCTGCATGTGCACCAATCTAGAGACTCAATGGGTTCATGAGAACCTGACAAAGGTGATCAGGGAACATTTATACCTGTGGATACTGTTACTCAGAAGCTATAAGGACAAAAGACCACTCTTGCAGAACTGCTTGCTAATGTCATCTCTATTGGTATCAGCTTCTCTCTTTCTTTTTCTCTCTCTCCTCCCCCCACACCCCTTTCTCTTTCTCTCCCTCCCTCCTTTGGTCCTTGTAGATTCTTGGGTCTGTAGCTGAATAGTCAAGAAGAGTCCAACAGAATTGAACTTTACTTCTGTCTTTGCTTTACATCTGTATGATGTGGAGAATTTAATATGTCTCTTCAAATTTTATATTTTCATCAGTTATCTAGGAATAATGACAGCTACCAACACTGTTAATCTTGATGAGAGGTTTAAAATAGATAATGTATAGTGTCTGGCATAATCTAAGTATTTATCATAGATCAGTTGTAGTTGCTTTTCCTTTCTGCCACTCGTTTTTTGTTCTATAGCAGCATATTCATTCATGGAGAGTACATAACTTCTAGGCTTTGTTCGCCATGGTTCACTATTTCAGTGTCTTAAATGCCAAACTCCCCAAAGAAGAATCTGGTTGACTTATGCCAAAAGTCCTAAGCCACAGCCCTGCCTAAGGACCCCTTATATTTTCAGAATGTATCCATCCCTAGTAGGATCAGCTACACTCAGGGGACACACAGAGTCAATGGGTCACTGCTTGCATTACATGAGTTGTGAAAAGGCAGTTTCCTTTAGAATGCCTGTGAAGGTTGTGGAGGCAAAGACTGAACTCCCTGCTAGAATACAGATGTAGTCTCAGTTCTGACATATCAGGATGGCAAATCCAGGTCTCCAAATCCAGCTTAAGGATTTTCTGAATTTTCAGGTTTCCACTATCAACCAAAAGTACTGGGTGATTTCCAACTCATCTTTTCCCTCCGATGACATGAAGTAGAGTCTGTATCTAAACATGAGAAATAACTGGTTGTCAACATGACTGAATTGGTCACTATTGTTTGTCACAGCAAGTCTTCACAATCAATCCACAAGTGCCACAGTCCTTCTGCAATCAGGATTGATTATTATGGAAGCCAGCTGTGGCTCATCTATTTCATTGCAGATGGCCACAGCTTTTGATTCCATCGAGAAATGTAATTTGTCACCAAAAACTCAAATGCTGCCTTCACAGTGTTTTACTTTCAGACACAGGGAGGATAAATGACCATATGGAGCTGAATGTGGATTTGTCAGACCTGTAACCAAAAGTCTTTTTCAGCACTGCCAATGGTGAAATGGGGGTTATAGGTTCCCAGTTCTAAAGCTCTTTTGCATAAACAAATTACAGGGAGTTCAACAGGACATAATTTTTAGTCCTTTGCGTTGTACACACATGACTTATGTCTGGGTTCTCAGCTTAAGAAATCCATGTAACTCTCTATGAAAAGATAAATGTATCACTCTAGTCATAATAATGTAATATAATAATATATAAAGCTTCCAACAAATGGTTTTATTGTTGTACTTATTACTTCCCAATTTTGATAAGCATTTAAGTTTCCATGCAAAATTACTTTATTCATTTCAGTAATAAAGAAAGAAATAGATGAAATAGAAGTTTGATTTAAAAGTCTCTGTTTTGCTCAAGATAAGCTGGTAAAAAGACATTTGTTGAAGCTACTAAGGACCGTGTTTTCAAAAGCTCACTGCTAATTTGAACCCTATCAAAGCAACACACATATGTGCACCCATTTTTCAGTGCAAATCAGGAAATATGAATAATTGAAGTGCTTTTGTGTTCCAAATTTTCATTAAATATAACTCTAATGCTGGTCCTGGGTCTCAGTCTTGTGTCAGGCTTACTTTAGCAAAATGAATTAAAGAAATAATGGACCAAATAAAGTTTCCTATCAGGAAATTCACACAAACTGGGCTGACAAAGGACTTTAGAGTCTTTTAAATATATTCTTTTATTATTTCTAGGGGTATATTATTCTGGGCATTCAAAGAGGTGATTTTTACTCCCTGAATGAAATCTGATGGATATCCAGTGTAATGAACTCCCAAAAGAATGAAGACATGTTTCCGGGGAAGAATTGAGGAGATCTTGCTTCATAGATTGCCACTACTAAAAATTGAGAAAGAAAACAGAAAAGAAAATTAATGGCACTAGATGTTTGTGAAGCAAACCAACTATATTTTCAGTGTGTTATTTGATCATTTATAAAACATATGTAAGTTACAAAGCTGGGCAAAAATATGTGTGTTATGTTATCGTCCTCCTTCTGCATTTTAAATTAAAAGAGAACATATTATCAGCTTGGAATTTACGGATTAGCTGGAATGTAAGCTTTAGGAAAGCTTGAGGAATTTATGTGGTTAGACAACCTTGGATTTTGAGCAATCCACAACCATGTCCAATCATCAAACAACTGGAGGTTTGCTATATTCTTTTTTCCTTCGACTATCAAAAAAGAAAAGAAGAGGAAATGATGATGCTTATCAGAAACTCTTATAGTGATGGTAGAGCAGCAAAGATCAATAGGTTAATATTTTTAAAACCCGATTCAGGTGATAAAAAGTCTGTAAATACATAAAATAAACATTATGCTAATGATAGACTATTGATAATAAAAAAATTACTTTGCTCCAGGGAAATATCTTCTGTAGGTTGTATGTATGTTAGTTTTGCATAGATACTGTCATAGTAATAATTATAATTTAATAATCCTAAGACTGATATGAAAAGCAGAGTTCTCAGTATGCATTCTACAGCATGTATAATTGTTATTTAGAAGTTTTGCACCTGAGACATAAAAAGAAGAAACCTTCTATAAGGTGCTTTTAGATAAAGCTAAGCATGAATTAAATTGGCCTTATCTACTTTTTTGTTCTAGCTTCTGTTCAAATCTTATAAATAAAATACTTTGAAAATAACTTGTATTTTGTCTAATATTTTAAGCTTTTTCAAAGTGAATCCTATTTTTTCTATATTTGCATGTCATTTGCTGCTTAGACAACCAAATGAAATACATGGGCATATAGAAAGGTCAGAGAAGAATTATGACTCCCCATTCCAACTGACAAGGCTAACATTCTTCTAGTCATCTAGATTCATAACCTTAGTTTAATCTGTACATTTTTCTTCTTACTAACTAACTTGAATCAATTGTCAGTCCTGTATTTTCATATTCCTAGATAGACCAAAATCTCTCTCTCACTCGTCTATCTTATTCCCACCAGCACCTTGTTTAGGTGTCATTTCCTTTCATCTGTGTCATTGTCATAATCCTCAACTTGGCTTCCCCCCAAGCCAGTATCTGAGAAATCAGTCTAGAACTTCCTAGTGGATAACAGAGACCCAATTCTTTGTCTCCCATGGTGAGCCTTAACAGGGAACTAGAATCAAGAGCAGAGCCAGGACTTGAAATCAGGACTCTGTGGGTGTCTCAAGCAGTATCTTAACTCCTATACCAAATGCCCACCACAGCATGCCATTTTTTGAGGTGACATTTGTATTGAGACTAAGATGCATTGAAAGATCAAGACATTGAACTATCTATAAAGTTTTAGTCCCTGGAAATGCCAATATAGAAACCTTGAAGAGAGGCCCTGGATAGATTTAATAAATAGCAAGGAATAATTAAGAATTAAGAATTCTGGCCGGCGCCGCGGCTCACTAGGCTAATCCTCCGCCTTGCGGTGCCGGCACACCGGGTTCTAGTCCCGGTCGGGGCGCCGGATTCTGTCCCGGTTGCCCCTCTTCCAGGGCAGCTCTCTGCTGTGACCAGGGAGTGCAGTGGAGGATGGCCCAAGTGCTTGGGCCCTGCACCCCGTGGGAGACCAGGAGAAGTACCTGGCTCCTGCCATCGGATCAGCGCGGTGCGCCGGCCGCAGTGCGCCGGCTGCGGCGGCCATTGGAGGGTGAAGCAACAGCAAAGGAAGACCTGTCTCTCTCTCTCTCTCTCTCTCTCTCTCTCACTTTCCACTCTGCTTGTCTATACCAAAAGATAAGAGCAAAAGAATTAAGAATTCTATGGGTAGGTATAAGTAGGAGAAAGAGAAAGAGTACTCCTATCTGTTGCATTCCCCAGATGTCCACGATGGCTGGGACTAGGCCAAGGGAGCTGGGAACTCAAGTCAAGTCCTCCATATGAGAGGCAGGAAGCCAACTCCTGAACTGTCAACACTATCTCCCAGGGTCTGCGCTGGCAGGAGGTTGGAACCTGGTATTGAACTCACGCACTTAACTGATGTGTTATTGGCTAGGCCAAATGCTTGTCCCATGAACCTGAGTTTTTTAAAGTATGTGCAAAAGAGGAATATTTAGTTGCTTTATGAGGTTGACTTCTGAGACAACGCATTAGAGCGTTAATAGATGCTAGGTATTTGGAATAAATTATTTAAACATTTGTTATGATGCTTCTATGATCTCTGCTTTGATAATAGCAAGTACTATTTTTATATACTTAAAATTTCATCTATTGCCTACCAGGTCCAACTGGTTTTTCAAATGTTGAGTTTCAATAGCACATCAAAAAGAATGAAAAGATTATGATAGACTCTATGCACTGAAAGGAGCTTGAACTTGAGTGAGAGACAAGACATGTACACATATGTTACAAGGGAGAGAAGGCGGCCGGCGCCGTGGCTTACTAGGCTAATCCTCCCCCTTGTGGCGCCGGCACGCCGGGTTCTAGTCCCGGTCGGGGCGCCTGATTCTGTCCCGGTTGCCCCTCTTCCAGGCCAGCTCTCTGCTGTGGCCAGGGAGTGCAGTGGAGGATGGCCCAAGTGCTTGGGCCCTGCACGCGCATGAGAGACCAGGAAAAGCACCTGGCTCCCGGCTTCGGATCGGCACAGTGCGCCGGCAGCGGCGGCCATTGGAGGGTGAACCAATGGTAAAGGAAGACCTTTCTCTCTGTCTCTCTCTCACTGTCCACTCTGCCTGTCAAAAAATAAAAAAATAAAATAAAAAACAAACCAAAACAAAAACAAGGGAGAGAAGGCAGGAGAGAATCATGTGGAAAATGGTCAGAGAATGAAAAGAAAGTTCCCTATGGGATTCCAAAACGTAAGACAGTGCTATTACACTCTGTGCTATTGAGAAAAGCCACTCTGGTATCAGTTTCTGTTTCCTACATAAATTCTTGATTACAATAGGAACTCAATAAATGCTAGCTGGAATTCCTCATTGGGTGAGAACCCAGGCACAGGTTAAGTAGCATGCCAGACTCATATTGCTCCTGAGATGACCTGGAGCTCAAAGAGAATTTGCTCATGATGGTTCCATTCTTTACAATCAAGACTCAACCTATCAGAATGGCAAAGTAGTCCATGTCATCCAAAATTTACTCAGGAGATTCCCTTAGCAGAAACTTGATGATATATGGGAGCCTTAAGTATCTTCCTAGGGGCTGGCTCTGTGGCATAGCAGGTAAAGCCACCGCCTGCAGTGCCAGCATCCCATATAGGTACCGGTTCAAGTCCCGGCTGCTCCACTTCCAATCCAGCTCTCTGCTGTGGCCTGGGAAAGCAGTAGAAGATGGCCCAAGTCCTTGGGCCCCTGCACCCGTATGGGAAGACCATGTGGAAGCTCCTGGTTCCTGGCTTGGGACTGGCACAGCTCTGGCTGTTGCAGCCATTTGGGGAGTGAACCAGCAGATGGAAGACCTCTCTTTCTCTCTCTCTCTCTCCCTCTGCCTCTCTGAAACTCTCCTTTTCAAATAATAAATAAATCTTTAAAGAGTCTTTCTAAATAAATGACCTACAATGTAAGGTGGGGGTAGCTGGCCTAGTGGTTAAGATACTGGTTAGGAAGATCACATCCCATGTTGTAGTGCCTGTCTTCTATACCTCTGGCTCCAGCTCCTGACTTCAGGTTCCAGCCAATGCAGACCTCAGGAGGCAGCAGGGACGGCTCAAGTAGTTGAGTTTGCCACCTCTGTGCAAGATATGGATTGAGTGACCCAGTTCTGATTTCAGTTTCTCAGCCATTCTGGGCATATAGAGAGTGAGCCAAAAGATGGGAGTTTCTCTCTCTCTCTCTCTCTCTCTCTTAGATTTATTTATCTATTTGAGAGGTAGAGTTACAGTGAGAAGGAGAGACACAGAGAGAAGTCTTTCTTCCGTCGGTTCACTCCCCAAATAACTGCAGCGGCTGGAGCTGTGCTGATCTGAAGCCAGGAGCCAGATGATTCTTAATGGTCTCTCACATGGCTGCAGGGGCCCAGGGATGTGGGCCAACTTCTACTGCTTTCCCAGGCCATGGCAGAGAGCTGGATGGAAGAGGGGCAGCCAGGACTAGAACCGGTGCCCATATGGGATGCTGGCGCCGCAGGCAGAGGATTAACCTACTGAGGCATGGGCCAGTCCCTGTTTCTTTCTCTTTCTCGCAGTCAAATAAATAAACAGATAAAATTCAATCTCAAAATGATTGTTTGACTTGAGAAAACCACAACTAGGCTTTAAAGGGAAGGAAAAGGGGGTGATAATTTTCTTGCTTACCGTAGTCACAACTGACTCCCCTACAACAAAAACAGGCTAAAAGTTATTTGATCATGGTTTCATGTGCTACAGGGGCCTTCAGCTGAGAAGCCAAGGAATCTTCAATTTTTACGCTTAAGTTCTTGAATCATGGACAATTACATAGAAATATGATTGCAAAAACAGGTTGTGATCTAACACTGATAGACTGAGTGGGGGAAACTCAGCAAGGCCCGTCTGTTCAGATTCTTCTTGGCCTCTCAGTTGTAGCATTGCTTTCTCCTGGGCATGGAGCTAGACTTTTCTACAATGAGGATCTGAATTTCTTTATGGCCAATTCTAACACAGAAAGGTGTGCAAAAAGTTAGAATGATATTTTTAGATTTTACAGCCTGTGTTGGGGAATAGGTTTCCAGTATCTATGACTCACCTGGGGGTAGGGTGATTGTAGTTTCTATGGCTTATCCTGGGTGGAGAGGTAAGGGGAAGAGATAAGAGGACAGGAGGTCAGGAAGAGACTTAGCTTCAGAGATCTTTACTTTATGGTATGTTTTCTGAGCCCCAATAATTTGATTACATAGTTAGAGCTGAAAAATTAGCCATCTTCCTAAATCTCAGTGCACAACATCAAAAAGGGGCAAAGTAAGTGATAACTTACTATCTCTTGGCTTAACAACAACTGATAATTTTTCCCAGATTTCTAGCCTAACTTCCAGAAACATTAACCAGTCAGTGGGAAGTTATTGGGTGTTTGGGTTAGGTCCCTGCTAAAATGAAGGTCTTCCTTCTGAAGTATACTTATTACTTAAAAGTTATCATTTAGAATATTACGTCTTTTAAAAAAAATAACCCCCAAATAAAGTATCAATAAGAAAAGCTCCATATGCATATCAATAAATACCTGACAAATTTCTTTTTTAAGGTTGGCCCATCTACCACAATCACAGGCAATCATGGGGGTCATGAGTTACCACAGGCTTTTGTATTGATTTCTTAATTTGTTCCTTACAATAACTCTGAAGTAGCTCTTCCTCTTATCTTTTGTTTTAAAGGTGAGAAATCTGGGACCAAGTGAGCATTCTTTTCAAAGACTATCCATATAACAAGACAGGATTTGAGCCTATAAAATCAGATGCTAACGCTCATTTGCTGAGAAAGAAGTTAAGATGATACTAAGATTAAATAACAAACATTGGCACATTGTATGACACATTGGAAAAAATATGTTTATCCAAATACAAACCTTTGTACCAGCATATAATGAGCCAACCCTATAGAGAACTCAGGACGAGGCTAGAAAAATGAGTGTTGAGCTTGTGATTCTTATTGTCTTTGGTGCTATTCAGTCAAGTAACTAGATAAAATGGCCCCATAAAAGAGGGGGTAT